GCTTTGGTGCTCACTCGTTCGCTGAAGGCTGTTGTTCACACGCCTTCCTGGTATGAGTTAAAGCCGCTTTGACTGCCTGATCAGGAAGTGTGTACTTTTATTGTTGTTGTTTCCCGATGAGACCTCCTCGTCTGGCTGATAAAATACTGCATCCGCAAAGGCGACTGCTATTTTTGCAGATCTTGCAGTTGGAAAACAAACGGATCTAAATATCCGCCTGCAATCTTATGGTCATAAACTTTGCTAATACAAGCGGACATGCGAATCCCAGGAAGTAATCGAGAAGTAGAAGACGACTCGATGGCTGGGACAATATGTTTATTCGCCTGACATTCCAAAATTCGTCGAGGATTCATCATCAGAAACATACTCGCAGAAACAGTTGTTGTGTGCACAGGGTTTTTCCGTAAAATTTAAACGTACAGAAAAAATCGATAAATGCCTTGAGCGTGTGCTGCTTCGTTGCGTCAGCAATCACCATCTGGCCCTGTGGTGTTGGTATAGGATTATGTGGTGGCCTGTCTGTTTCCCGAGCGGTGACTTGAATCATGCTTCACGGGCCCCCAATCCATCAACAAGTGCAACGATCTGTCCAATCCATATTCGGTGCTGAAACTAAATTTGGCCAAAGCATGTCACCGTTCGCGGAACAGAGAGGCCCCCAAATCATCCTATGCCAACACCGCAGGGACAGAATGTCATTGCTGACGTAACGAATCAGCGCACAGTCAAGGCATTTATCGATTTTTCTGTACGTTTAAATGTTACGGCGAAACCCTGCGCACACAAAAACTGTTTCTGCTACTGTTCGGTGAGTATGTCTCTGATGATGAATGCGCGATGGATTTAGAAACGTCAGGCGAATAAACATATTGTCCCCCGGTAGAGCTGACTTAATCACGCAGTGAGCTGTACGTTTTCATTCCTTGGCAATGACCTCGAGTGAGCGTCAGAAACGTCGGGCAAATAAAATACTGGTCCCAGAGAACGATCTTCCGCCTTCTATTCAATTACCTGGGCCTCGCATATTTTCGACCATTGAGAATAGTTTATTTTGCACAGAAGTAGTGGAGAATAGGTTGAAGAAAGTTGACTGTCAGAAGGATGCACGACCACTCGTGAGAGAGCCCATTTCGCAGGCGCCTCAGCTCGGTAGACATCACAGCGTCCAAGAGGATGGTCTTTGTGCGAGTCAGCCCTGAAGGAGCTTGACTTGACAGATTGTAGTCGGCCTACTAGTACGCACATGCTACCAGCCGTAAAACAATCATTCGCACAGAGTTGGTGGCTGTCCTAGAGGTAGGCCGAGAACTGCAATCACATGACCTCATGTGAAGTGGAAGGCGCTATGAGATCACTACACAGTTTCCTGTTTAGTGAATCATCAACGTAATCCTTACTCCAACTTCGGCCAAATGCGTCGGGTGATTTAGCCAGAGTCAAGCAAGGTTGTAGGCTGTGTTTTGCGTTGAAAAAGTACCCAGAAGCCTTATCACAACATTGCGGAATTGTTAATGTTATTTTTGATTTCCGTCCCCTTTTTTTCTAAACCAGCTCTGCGGCTCAACCGACCAATGTTTGCTTCCCACACTCAACCGTCGGCGGAGCCAAAAACCGACTACTTTGCCGGCTGGTTGGGTGAATCGCAGCTTGACCTTCAATGCAGCCTTCAAGGTCGTCAGCCTGCGGACTCCATCAATTTGGCTATTGGTGGCCCCTGTGATATCCTCAGTCTGCCGCAGTCTTTTGGGTAAGTAGGAGCTAATCACTCAGAGACTAAATCTCTGGGTCTTTGATTTACCAAAAGTCGATAAAATGTCTGCTAACCAATTTTGCTGTTGTCTCTGATGATAGATCCACGACGGGTTTCTGATAGGTCAGGTGAGCAAAGTTCTTGTCCCAATAATCACCTATCTGTGAGTCTTCAAGATTTCCACTTGAGGTTGCGCAAATACCGTCACACCAAGAGAAGACCAGATGCTGTCAGTTCATGAGCGAAGACAGCAAAAAACCGCTTCAGTAGAGACTGCCTGCGAAAAGAAGGCGATACGCGAAGCAGCACTGGAGAACAAATTTCGCAGGCTGCATAATCCAAAGTCACCCAGAAACGACACACTGGTGCATAACCTGTCGTCGGTTGGTTGGTAGCCCATTGTTGAATCAGGAGTCCCCGCCGGGGTCCAAACTGGGTGCAGTTGGAGACGGAGAAAAGCCGCGACCTCAACCGGCCTGAGCCAAAGGTCCACAGGGGGTGAGTTGGGTGCATGGCCGGGAACTGCGGGCGAATTGATGCTGACTGTCATGCGGAGAAACGCCGCAATCTGAACAGCAGTCGGGTATGGACGGGT